ACTATTCGGTAGTAAAAAAGTAGCTCAAGAGTTGGCGGTGGATGGTGATGATTAGCTGCCTTCCCTCTAGTCTTACACTGCTAAATTAGGGACGGCTAGCGCAGAAAGCCCTCGTGTAGCTTTGCGCGAAATTCAAAACAAACACATATATGTCTGAAAATTAATGTGTCTAATACAAAACGAATAACAAGTCTATATATCAAGGGCACCGTAACCGGGTAGGCAGGTAAGGTATTTGCCCTCCGCCTTCAATAACTTAGCCAGTAACTTTTGTTTTCTGAATCTTGTTTGTAACATTTTTAGCGCTGTGACTCAACGTCACTAGTTCGTTGTTGCATGCGCTCATTGTAGGCTAAGTATTACATACACTTTTATGAACTTAACAGACCTACAAACTGTGTAAACTGAAGCATAATCCTTATTTAAAAATACATAACAAAAATTGTTTCCTTACCTTGATGCACTTTCAATGGCCGGCAACAATCTGCCCCACCAGATGCTTGTAATTGTATCATGCCGTAAATTGATTGTTATAATTTCTGTACAGGTTATATTAATAAATAATCAAAAATTAAGTAGAATTTCGGTTTTATTTATATTTTTATGAATATCACATCAACCATAACAAAAGTTAAGCGAAAATACATTTTGCTCCTATTATCCCACAGAATATACAAATTAACGAAGGGATAAAAAAAATGTTTATGTTTATTTGTTGTTAAGCACAAAGCTACTCATTGGGCAGTCTGTGTTGTGCCCACCACGGATATCTAAACCTGACTTTTAGCGACATAAGCCCTCTGGAGACTGGCATGGGTAGATGTTTTGGGCGCTCGACTAGTAATATGAAGATCGCGGGTTCGAATTCCCGTCCCACCAAACATGCTCGTCCTTTCAGCCGTGGGAGCGTTATAATGTGATGATCAATCTCACTATTCGTTGGTAAAAAAGAGTAGCCCAATAGTTGGCAGTGGGTGGTGATGACTAGCTGCCTTCCCTCTAGTCTTTCACTGCTAAATTAGGGACAGCTAGCGCAGATAGCTATCGTGTAGCTTTGCGCGAAATTAAAAGAAAAACAACAACAACAACAACAAACAAACAAACGTAAGCCCTCCGAATTATCGTTGAGCCACTAGAGGCTAAAAAGTTGCGAAATATTACTTTAAATATTTATTAAATAAAATCAGTTTACAAGATTAACATTGTTAGTTCACTTTTATTGTTCAAAGAAAATATTGAGGAGGATAAACCTGCATGAAACCTTGGAGTTTTAAGTAGTTTCATCGGGAATATATGAATAATATGTGTGTACGTATCAACTGGTTTTACCAAAAATAATTTAGCATTTAATTTTAAACATTTATCATTTTATAAATTGGACAACGGGAGGTGTCAAGTTCGGCTTGCTGTCATGGTTGCCAGATTTGGGGTAAACCCCATTCGTAGGGGTAAATCGAAGCAGTGGAGAGGAATATTGCATTTGGGGACGTGGAAAGAGAGGAACTCAAATGAGGTCTAATGTTAAAATTGGGGGAAGGATTTTATTTCCCCTCTACTGAACTCCTTTAAAATTTCCCATAGTGTTCTCGTGTTCTTTCAGAATATTAAACTTGCCTTCTAACAGTGATGGACTTTTTCGCTAGCCAATAGTACAGGCCATTTGCCATTAAGTCCCGCCTTACCCTTCCTCCTTCCAAAAGTAAACATAAGTGTAATGTAATTAATATAGTAAATAATACCTAATATGCAGATTTTGTGTGGTTTCGATTTCTAAAAAAAATAATTTCATTAAAAATCTTTAAAACCTTATGTATCATTATTATTAAATAATAATTATACTAATCGTCACCTTAAGGCTCTTACTTAGAATCACCGCACGCCTATAATGGCCTACGTTACAGTGAGTAGGGTTCTCAGATGCTAACTGAAAATCCCTCTAGAGGTGAGCCAGTTCAGTCTATTTTCAGTATTTATTATATTTACAAAATACCTATACCAGAGTAGGGGGAGCTGCATATGCGTTATTGACCATGCTGTTTTGTTTTTGATAAATTCTGAAGTTCCTGGTTAATTCATATTAAACTGATGAAGTACTAAAAGTGTTAACTAAAGTAAGTGTAATAAATGGGTGTCTTATCGATTATGCATTGTCCCAGGGAGTGGCACAGCAGTCATTTTAGAAACTAAATAAATCAGACAGATGAAGTATGTTTGTTGATTTCTTACTTCACTTGAAATTTATGATGATGAACCATTTACAGATAGAGAAGAAATGTTTTAAACTTTTATTTTACGTTTCAAGAGTAATAAACTAACAGAATATTAATGCCTGGAGCTACGAAACAGGTTTCACTTGAAGAAAAATGTTATTATTTAACATTCTTCTTGAGGTGAACTTTTAATGTTAATGTATCTATATAGATATAACAGCAATGTCTGCTGAAATCTGCTTAACATCACTCACGAGGACATGTGGGTGTGACAATAGTCTTTTTCTGCAGTCATGGCCAACACCAGGCTGAAATGTCCAAAACGTCGGCGGTACACTGTACTAGGCATGTTTGGGGATCTCTACATTCAGATGAATGTTAACTCTCTACTTGTGGGTGACAGAACGATAAGTTGCAGTAGACATCTCGTCCATGGGCTCAGCAGACCCTAGGTTTTTCCAAGACTCCTCCCAATGGGGAAAGGTTCGAAACTTTATTTTGGATCCCCAGCCTCACCAGTTGGTGTCCACTAACTCACCTGCTGGTATAATAGTTTGGGACTGGTGAACATTATCCATCAGCAGTAATTCCAGTATATTTCAGCTTGTCTTGGGTGCCATTAACTAGAGTCAGAGTTGGAGTATCCTGGCCATTGAATAACTAAAAGTTAAGGAAAAGTTTTCATATTTGTTCTCAGACTCACAAGATCACAACTCGCCATTATGGCCCTCATTTGGTCATGCTTTCTGTGCACTGAGATCAGTTTTTAGGAGAAAAACTCGGGTATTAGTTTTGGGTGCATCAGATTCCACACCTTTTGTTGAGTCTGGAGCTGCAATGGAAATGCAGTCATAGACCATTGCAGCATCAGTAAAAATAATTTTGCTTGTGGAAATTGCAACTTCTTCATCCAAAAATAAATAAAATTAAAGTATAAGAGTTAAGAAAAGCACAATGTAATCCACGCCGATAGAAAATGGAAAACTGTGAAATAACAAATCCTGTTGCCATTCCACCAAAATTTGTTGTTGCTACCATAATCTGTGGTATTCCTAGACAAATCTTACAGACAGTTTCTGCAGATAAAAATAGGTTTTCTCATAAACTGTTTCATGGAGTAAATCTGAATTGTGACTTTGACTGAGTTTGAGAAAAAAGACTAAACACAACATAAACAAAATGAAAAGCAATTCTTACATATTTATAATAATCGAAGTGGTGAGTAAAGTGGAGGAAATACAATACCTTTTACTGGATGTAAATCAGTCTAGACTTATGTATCTGTTGAAAACTCTCTATCCTAATTGATTATTCCAGACTAAGAAATCATAGCATTATATATCCAAGGTTCTATAATACCATCCCTCTCAATGCACATGTACTACCCACATCCTTGATTTTCATTCCAATGGGCTAGTCAGAGAAGTCATAACCTCCAGGTATCACTTGACCCATTAGTTTGCTGTCCACCTTTATGTAATATATCCTACTTAAAGTAATCTTTCCTACAAAAAAGCACATTTGATACTGTAGGAGAATGACCAGAACAATGGGTAACTAGAAAGAAAGAAACTTAAACCCCATTTCTTTAACAATATTATGCTATTAAAATTACACACACACGACCGGAAACATGTATGTGCGAAATTTGTTTTTTAATTCTTGATTCTTGGCGAACTTTAAATGTTCACTTAAAGAAAGTAAGAAATATTAAACGATTTTTTGCATACCACAAATATATACAAGGCACGAAGTCATAGCATGATCATTGAATGTGATTAGTTTTGTCAAATAACACCTTCTAAGGTTGTTTGAGATGCGACATTACATATAAGGATCAATAAATAAAAAAGGGAGAAATTCATGGTAATCGGCCTGTACTATTTAAGACAACAGTTTATTTCATGATTAACATTTGTAAATTCAGTCAATATATCCTGAGGACTGTGGTGCGACTTTCCTATTCTTATGACATATCAATTAGTCTCTGCATATATTATAAACTAATTTATTGGAAAACGCATTTACATGATAATCAAATGAGACAAAATGTTTGGTAGATTAAACGTAGAAATACTTTGTATATCCGGGTAAATCTTTAAAGTAATGGAATAAATACGCTTAATAACAGGAGATTCGGTCAAGATACCAATTGCAAAGGAATGGTAAATCTCTGAATAAATGACTCGTGAGAATGAATAGAATACAGAGGTTGAACACAAAATGAACAATCTTTATTATAATAGACATGAAACACAAACACGGTATACCTGTTTTTACTTATATGGGACAAACATTTATTTTCTGGATCCTCTATATTTAATCGATCAAGCTGTACCAGACTGAAGAAATCCAAAGTTCCCTAGTTCGCAAGAAACGTCAGATTTACCCAGAGTTCCCAGTGATAATTACATGATTAGTCATACCATTCAAAGATGAAAAAGCTCATAACTTCTATACATAACCTGAACTACCATTGAGAAAATTGCTTTAAATATCTATTCACAATGTGCAACATTGCAGAAATATTCCCCCTTTGAGAATAGCAATGGAACAAAGACAGCTAGAACGAAATTAGCTTAACGGTTTTATTGGCTACGTGTTATGTGAAATCGGCAAATACACAAAATAAATGATAAATTCATAATAAATATCATAATGTTAAAGAAGACAGAAACGCATGGTATATTCATATACCACAATAGTACCTTGCTTTATTGCACTGTAAGTTTTCTAATCAATACATTTTGTAAAACCATTTTACTAATTTTTGTACAAATTAATACGCAATTAAAAAAACTTTTTAGTGTTTGTGTAACTCGATAGAAGTATGAAAATTTTGAAATTAAAACTTTTGTTTCGATTTTTTAGGACACTAAAAATATAAGGGTATCCTCCAATACTTGAAAATGGTAATCACGTCACATGTTATATAATAAAAAAAATTGTCTTCTATAAAATAAATCTCCAAATCAAGATTGTTTGTTTGTTAGCTTATTCTGCTTTAATTAAACACAAAGCTACACAATTGGTTTTCTATGTTCTGCTCACTGTAGGTATCGAATCCGATTTTTATCGTTATAAGCCCCCAAACTTACCGCTGAGTCACGGGAGTGTTAACTCAAAATATGCTGTGTTTTTGAAAAAACTATATTATGGTTATTTTACTATATAAATCAGTGTAATTATACAAAATTCAAAACCGTGTTAGATTACTGATGTCATGTTTCCTAAAATGTGCAATGGTGCAAAATATTTATAATTCTTTCTATAGTTTTTTGATAGCCATGTATAGAATATGAATGAGCTGACCCCGAAATGTTTGAGTTTATACGGTTTTAATGTAATACGTACTAAGCTTTGTTTTAAACATTACATTTTCAACCAGAAAGACCGTGATTTACGCTCTGTATCCACAAAATAAAAGTAGCGTGTGGTTATACATGTATATCAATAATGTAAAACAACTGATACTCCGTAATGACAGCCAAAAAAAGTATACGTTGATGATTCCATCCTCTGTTGGAACAGCTGTACGTTTAAGGACTTACAACGCTAAAATCCGACATTCGATTTCTTGTGGTGAACACAGCAAATAGCCCAATGTGGATTTACTCTAAAACAAACAAATTATACTTACTATATTGACATATTTCTATATTTTTTGTATATTTACTTGTTGCTAAGCGCGAAGTTGCACAAGGAACTATCTGCGCTGTGCGCACTGTGAGTATTAAAACCCGAATTTTAGCGTTATAAGCTCTTAGGTTTGCCGCTCAGGTAATGAAGGCATATTTCGATATACTCATTAAATAAAATATTTCCACCGTGTTCAATTTAAGAAGAGTTAAAACAATACACACATACACATAATAACAACATATAATAATCAGTATAATGACAAAATTACGTGTTCTAATACTATTTACTATATTGGTGTTTTTAACTTTTCTGAAGTTAATAATTACAGAAGAAATTTGTAAAAAACAAACAATGCTTTCTGTGTATAAACGATTAATTTTAATATAATTGCAAACTGTTAATTTAATGTAACTGTAATATCTCTATTTGACTATTTTTACAAAATATTAGTTATTATTCTATCATGTAAATACATTTAATGTTTATAAACTATTTATGACTTTTATGGTTTGTGCTTATAATTAATTATAAGCATTAATGTCTTGATTTCCATTTTTTGTAAAGTGATCAAGCATAACCTGGTAGTTAGAGCGCTCAACTCGCAATCCAAGTGTCGTGGGTTTAAGTCTCTGTTACCGAAAGTGCTTGTCTTTTCAGCTATTGGGGTATTATAATATAAAGATCAATCTCACTTTTTATTAAGAAAAGAGTAACCCATGAGTTGCTGGTGGGAAGTGTTGAATATCTGCTCTCCCTCTAATCTGTTATTGCTAAATTAGGGACGGTTAATGTAGATAACCCTCGAGCATGTTTGCGCAAAATTCAAATCAGTCCAGTTTTACATGTCATGCACACACACACAAACTCGCTGTTCATAGAAAATAAAGGTTATCTTGGTATTTCGTTTATTAAATTTTATTTTGAATGAATTTTCTCCGTTTTGCCAATCATATTTGAGTTGTAACAAAAAATACTCTGCCATCAGAAGTTATCAGTAAACTGAGTATCGAAGAATAAAGTACTTGATGTGATTAGTAAAAAGAAAGCGAACAAATGTCACTTTAAGTAAAGAAAGTTTAGCTCTTCATTTCGTTCATAAATATTGTGGTAACATCTAAGAAGTATCATCTTTGTAATTTTTAAGTTTTTATATTGGAAATCTTCAATGTTTCAGAAATGCAAAATCTGTCCTTCTGCTTGATATTATAGTTGTTTAAATATGTACGGAATCATCGTCTGCCTACTAAAATATCGTTCATATACAATAATACGTCTACACTTTTGTATTTATTTACTGTGATATTTGTTGTTTAGTTTAAAATATTAATTACAATAATTATTTATAATCCGTATTAGCAGAAGTAGCCGTGAAATGGCGCTGTGTTCGATCTAGTAAGGAGAAGAATGTTCCGTGTCAGGCTGCTCTCGGTACAATGCATATATCAATTTTAAATATGGTGTTTTGATAATATTTGCCTTTTACTAACGTAAGTTTTCGATATTTATGAATGTGTGCTTAAAAAACTGGAAAAAGAACGAAGATAATTTCAGCTATGTCTAATCTAGGTGTGTCAACTGAGCTTGATGTGTATGACGACCTCCTCCTGTAAGTTGTTTCTATGTTGTCATGACAAAAGCCAGTCACCCTGTTACTGTTATGTTCTTATCACTCATTAATATAAACAATAAAAAACAAAGTTCCAAGCGCTTTGACTTGACTCCATTAATTATAATAAGTTTTTTGCTTTCTCATACCTAACCATCCAACTACTAGTACTATCCAATTTACCAGTCTTTCCTCGACCCGAACTGCTGTGATTTTATTAACTAATCCAACTGTTGCGAGTGTTGGTGTTTTTAACTCTTCTCAAGTTGATCATTATAGAAGAAATCTGTAAAAAAATGCTTTCTTTGTATAAATAATTAATGTTACTGTATATTGTATTTGCAAACTGAAATCTGAAACAAATTATACCCATTCTATTAACTAGGGATGCACGGGTAGTAAAATTTGGGCTGAATACGGAATCTGGGTACCTGGTCACTAAGCTTTGGCACAGGGTCAGGTATCAACTGAGACTGGGTTCTCCCCTTGCCCCCCACCCAAATAAAACAATATGCACAAAAATTAGAAACAAAAACAAAATTAACGTTTATTACATTTAACCAAATAATCACCAATAGAACATTCAAGTTTTACTTACAACTTTCAGTGCATAGTCCCAACTTCTCAAATCTTAACCCCTATGGTTCTTAAAACCCACACCTTCCCCAAAAATCTACTTCTCAGGGAATGCTTGTTATTAACTTCTATTGTTCTCTGAATCCCCAAATTTCAGTGGGTGGTCAGTTTTTGTTGCTTGGAACAAATTTTTTTATAACTAACTAATTATTTACTGTAACTTTCAGTACCACGTTAGTTGCAAGAAAGATTAGGGCTTAGATGCATAACTTCGACACTCGGCTGGAGCCGAGTATTACCAGGTAGCCCAATACCCGGCTGTGGCTTAATATCTGGCTGGGTACCTGTGCATCCCTACTATTAATGCATTTCTATATTTATTTTTTTAATTGTTGCTAAGTACAAAGTCCCTTCATCCAGATAACAACCAAAATCCTAGAAGAAAGTTAACAGATTAGTAAGGAAAGATTACCTTTTTACTTTAGTGAATCTATATTTATTTTCTTTTATGACATATTTCAATAGATGATTTTGCAAAGCTCTTCTATCAGACTCTGAAATATTCCCATTATAGAAGTAAGACTAGTTGGTCAATAATTACCAAGGGAACTCTTTACCACCCTCTTCAAAAATTGGAGAACATAAACATTTCTCCAGTCCTCAGGGCCTGATAACTATGTATTGACCCACCAAAAATGAAAGAGTCCAGCATATCTGATTTCTGACCTACTTTATACCCTAGGGAATATAGAATCTGATTCTGGTGCTACATTTGTTTTTAATCTCTGTTTTACTTCCTTTTTTTTATCACCAAGGAGCTAATATCTACATGATTCAGATCAGTCCCAATATTTACCATAGAATGCTTAGGATCAGAAATACAGCTGTCATCCTTTTTGTTTTTGTAAAAACAGAAGGGAACATTGAAAACCTCAGACATCTAATAATCTTCAACGTCTTTTAGTTTAAGGGCCCAATTCTCCATTTTATCATTTTGATTACCTATAACATACTTAAATATCCTTGCTGTGATTTTTACCATAATGATCCTGCTACATATCATAAGGCTTTCTGAATTTCCTTACTTCTTTTTTTGATTATATTTCTAATCTTCCTATAGTTTCGTAGATTTTTCATTCTACTTGTCAGTTTATCTCTGTTAAACTTTTTGTAAATAATAATACTGGAACTTTACTACTAGGATAACTATTGACTCAATACAAGTAAGTACTTCAAGTAGTAGTACATATTACATTAGCTCACTGTGCCTTTCCCTAGGTTATGATACAGATTTATTGGGCATAATATAGTTATATGGGTTGAGAGCCAAAAATATGCTAAAAAAAAAGATTTTCAAATTGCAAATTTTACACACCAATTTGTTTTGTTAAAGCACAATAATACATCAGTTAAACTTTGAGGTTTTTACCTATACCTTTGAGGCTAAAGAATTGTCTTAGATTTTATAATTTAATGTGTGTATAAGAATGTGTGGTACACCTTTGTATGGTGTAGACAGTTTCCTCACAGAAGTCCACTTGCCAGTTGACATTTATTAAATATGCACCAGATCATCACTATGTTTCTGATGCTTTTACTAACCATCTGTTTCATTTCATATTATTGCTAGAGATGTGTATAACATAACTATAGATCATTTGCTCCTTCAAGGCTGTTCTTTCACTCCCACCATTGGAGATTTTTAATTTTAAACACACTTCTTACCTTAAGATGTGGTAAACACAATAGGATTGGGAGAATTCAAGAGGAGGCTTGATGAATACTTAAAAAAAAAACAGAGCTGGATATAACAAATAGGTGTTTGACAAAATGAATTGGACAACCATGATGGGTCAAGGGGTACCTTGTTATGTTAGTGTGATAGTGGTGATTATATTTTATCTTTTACTTGAGACTCCTGTATTATATTTATGTTTCAGAAATTTCTTTAATTAGAACTTTAGTAACATATACAATTTTTGATTTTGATTGAGAGGCTAATAACCTTAAAAAAGCTTCATCAATAGGAATGGGACAAATAGTAGTTTTGAATCGATATTGGATATCCAATTGTAGAGTAGATATGGCCTTACATATTGAAAATATGCTACAGGCTTGAGCTTCCACTTCGTTGTTGTATAGTATTAAAATATTTACTTCGTTATCATTTTTTGAAAATGTGAGACAATATTTTACACCTCTGATTCCATGCTGAGATTGTGCTTGCTGTTGCTGTCATTATCATTACTATTTATGACATATAGTAGAAACACAGTTGGTGGGAGTGATGTTTATGTAAACTACATAACACTTTAATACTAGGGATAGTGCTACCATGTTTAGAAGTTAGTGTAAAGGGGTCAGTGGATTAAATGATGAAATACATATATTACATGTAGTACACATGCAAATAATGTCATGCCTGCATGATATTGCAAGATAAATCATTGATTGAATTGCTATCTGATTATCCATCTTATTGCAAAATTAATATCTGATTGTATTGGATTTCATCAGATAGTGCAACATTCAATCAGATATTTATCCCAGCCTTATTTATCATTGATACATTATCACAAGATTGACAGCTGTGCAATGTTTCTGCATTAGTTTCAAGTTAATATCAAAAAATATTGTAATCAGCACACTTTTAGTCAAAAAATGGTAATGGGAGGGCAACTATATCTATCATGAACTTGCAAAAAGAATTAATATTTATCTAAGAAGCCCTAGTTTAATTATTTTTTCAGTATTTGGTACAGTGATAACCTAGAATATAATGTGTAAATTCTGGTAGGAAAATTTATCTTATAAATTGTGAAGCATGTACATAGTTTTAAAATTTATAAAACTCACTCAAGTATCACATTATGTATATACCTTGTTAATACATAAAGCAAACATCTTAATAAAAATATTTTGTATAACTGCTTATGTAGATGAGTTGTTGGTTTATTACAATTGTTATTGATTATTAAGCTACTTACTACTAACAGATTTTTGTTTGAGGTCTAATCTGTAGATGCTAATCATAACATTATTTCAGATACGTTACAACAGATAAATTTTACCTGGAACCCCAGATATCCCGAAGTGAAGTACTTGTTATAGATCGTGTATCAAGAGAAATCTCTCTCCAAGGTAAAAAAAAACTTTATTTGATTACCTCTAGATTTTTCAGTCTTTTCACTTTTGTAAGAACTTCTGGGTAAAACTAAAGAAGAATAAATAATAATATATCAACCACACACACACACTATACCTGCTGTACCTATTTCTCAAGACATAGTTGTGGTTGAGCTGGTTTTTTTTATGCAAACAAATTGCTTAACGAAGACTGTTATTATGTAAACTGGATTAAGTGGTCGAAGTGTAATTTTTCATCAATTTTATTTATATTACATCCCATTAGAATTACAGTGAAAAAATTTAATGCTATATTATTTATTTATTTTAACACCAAATTTGTTTATTACTATTGATTTGTCTTAACACAACAGTAAGCTCCAAACTTTTAATTATCTCATCAGACAAAGAATTGTTACATGTGATTCAGAGTATAATTGTCCATTATTATGCCTAACAAATGTATATAAAGCTGAAAGCAATGTTTCATCTAGAAAAAATTTGTTTAAATATCATCTAATACGTCTTAATTAGGTTGAATTTATATCTCAACTTAAAATCCTAATGAGAGAATTTCTTCTTTTAAAAGTTAGAATTATTAACTATTAACTTTGATTAAACCAAGTTACCTACATAGATCATAACTAATAGTGAATCATGTAAAGAGTATAGCAATTAAATATACTGTTCTTAATTTCTTACTTTCCTCACTTGGGTACCCTTGCTGTTTATGATATTTTCAACAGTAATCCCAACAATATCTCACAAAGTTCTGGTGGGTTAAAAGATTTAGATTAGTCATAAATCCATATAATAAGCTAAAAATGCAAAATAATTTTTGTAATAAAAATATAATAATAATATAATTTAACTTAATCAAGATAGATGTATTAAACATTCTAACTGATACTGTTCATGAAAGTAACATTACAAAAAGAATAGAGTATACCTTTGTTATTGAACACATAAGCACTAGCATATTTTGTTAAAAATAATTAGTTTCTTTAATTTTCAAAATATTACTTCACCTGGAAATTTTTCAGATTGACTTAAATACTAGCAAATAAAACTAGAAATTCAAGAAATCTTCTCATGCTCCTGTCAAGTTTCTTGATGTACAGCCTCTTGTTTACTGTAATGTAACAGTGATTTTAATAGATAGTTCTGCTAATTTTTTGAGGACACAATGTCAAATACGTTACAAAAATTTATGAAGAATGTCACTGTAAAAAATAATTCACATCGACTTGAAGATGAAAAGCTTCTGAAATATTGCTACCTTATTCTTCTTTATTGAGACCCTTTTAGCCAACTTCTGTTATGCATAGAAGGCACTTGACACTGATTTTCACTTTTATTTCTTATTGAATATCCTGCCTAAATTATAGATTAAAGAATGGTAAACTCATTTTCACCTACAATTTATACTATATATTGTTTTATGTACATTTCACTATGTCATGTTAAGCACATATTGTGCATGTATTTCTTTTTTTCATGACTAAACTGCTTTTAATTAATACAAAAATATAGTTTTATGACAAAAATAAACAAACAAGTTATTCAAAACTTTCAGTCTCATAATGTTGAATAAATTATGAAATACACAGTTCAGGGTATTTTTCCACATTTTTGTTATTAACTAAACTGTTGAAGGCTCTGTTATTTAGGCTGAAAGGTTTGGAATAAAAAAAAGTATGGAGAAAATTAATGGAGTTATCAAAAATTATTCTATTATATTAATATTATAATAATCTATCATAATTCTGATTTATGTTATATAAATGAAGTATATAACTTACAACTATACTTCACTGAGAATTGTTTTTTTATATAGTTTTTTTTTGTTCATTTGTTTGAGTGAAAAAATACTGTGCAAAATCCACATTATATTCTTCCTGCTAAAGTTTTCTGTCAGCTATTGATTAACATTTTGAACATTGTTCAAGACAGTAAAGTTCTGAGACATTGAATAATATGGATTAAATCAATCTAATGTTGAGTGTTAAGTTTAATACTACTAAATATGAAGGCCAATCTTTTATTCATTTAACCACTTGTAACTGAATTGTGCTTCTTTTGGGAAATTCCATCCCTCGCCACTAACCCTGCACAAAGTTAAATCAAAACAACACAACTAGGCATCTTATAGTTTATGATGGTTTTAGAATATGTAGCATTGATGTTATGCATGAGTTTGGTATAGTTAAATATTAATAAAAATACAACTTGCTTAATTATGACAAGATTTCCACAGCCAACTCGATTTCGGTAATGACATATATCCATGTCAGGAATATTCTATCAAAAATAATTGACTCTAAAGAAAACCAAGAATTGTTAAAAAAATGTAAAAACAGCAACTTCTTAATTATATTTTTTTTCTCAATATTTCACAAAAAAAAATATGTGGGACTAATTAACTCTTTGCAATGTTAGTACAAAATAACCTGATGTTATGATTTTTAGCCCCTGACTTTAATATTGAGGTTTATGTGCTTTACTTCGTGTCTATACATGGTACATGTATCAGAAGGTGTTTGTAATGTAGTAAAAAAGGCAGTTTATGAATCTAAGTTTCAAATGGGCAGCAACTGCCTGTTGTAGAAACTTACAAATGTAGAGGACGACGTTTCGAAAGTCTCCCGCCTGAAGACGAAAGGCAGAAGACTTTCAAAACATCGTCCTCTACATTTGTAGTTTCTACAACAGGCAGTTGCTGTCCATTTGAAACTTAAATTCATTATGAATACTCTGCCTAAGCAACCTACCAAAGAAGGCAGTTTATTTTGTGAAACATTAGGCAACATATACTTCCAAACATTTAAAACAAGAACTTTGGTAAATAACATGGAAGAGAAAGGATAATGATTCTTTTTGTTTTATATGCCATTGCTTAAGGAAATTTAACAAATCAAGTTGTAAACATTCCTGATTTTTTATAATCAGGTGTTATAAAAATTTTCACAAGTTATATTTGCAGAAACAGCTTATAAATAGTGTATCTTTTAAAGTACAAAAAATAACATAAGTTTTGCATTCATTTTTAGCCTACTGCAGTGCAAAAAAAAATAGTATTTTGTGATCTTTGTTGCAAAGATGTAAAAAACAAATATTAAACTTGTATCTATGTCTAAAATACTTTTGTACATAATCTTTAATACTTTGTTATTTCATAACATAAGATATACAGAATACCTTTTGTTTTCTATTTAGTTCTAATGTGTTTTTCTCTTTCAGCACACAAGGACCAAATTCCTTTACATGCAACCAGTAAGCCAGTCTGTGGAATCATTGGAGTTATTAATCTACTTTCAGGTAGAACAAAACAAGAAATGAAACATAAAGTTTCAAAATTTGAGCCTTTTCTTCAGTAAATTAATTTCACAATCAGCAATTAAGTTTTAAACCTAATGTATGAAACGTTGAGCATAATGAACTTGCTTTGAGGTAACACAAGGGTATGTTGAACTCATTTTAAGCAGCTATGGCTGTATATGTAATTGGCTGATACTTAAATAAACTAATGTTGAACCTAACTAGTCCTCCAGTGGCTCAGTGGTATGTCAGAAGGCTTAAAATGCTAAAAACCAAGTTTTGATACGTGTGCTGGGCACAGCACAGATAGCCCATTGTGTAGCTTTGTGCTTAACAACAAAACAAACCTAACTAAAAGTTGTTGGTGTAATTAATATACTGTAATGTAAAGCAATAGAACTTCAAACTTTGTCTATAGAATCATAAGGGTTATAAATCTGTATCTAAGTCACATGGTAAATGATAAACAACATGCTCCTAAATCAAGTTAATGTTTTTCTGTTTCATTTTATCTAACTGTTCGTTAAAAAAAAAAAAAAAGCAAAATGGTCAAACGTTTCCCTGCTGTCTGAGACGTTATTTGAAATTATATATAGTCCCAGGTCTCATTACTATTTCAAGTAAAACTGTAAACACTTCCATGGGAACCACAAGAAAATGCTGTGATATAAAGAAAAAAGCAGAAAAAATAGAAAAATATATAAACTGATGATTACTGAACTTTCTTTTAATAAAGGTAAACACACACATATATAAAACACTAAAATCTGTTTGTCTGTCTATTTTTCTGTTATCTAACTACTCCTAGGTCACTAGCCCAATCTCAAACAAATGTTGTGGGATGATAGTTTGGAACAAGGGGCATATTAGTGGGGACTTAACAACCTCCTCTACCCCCCATTATTGCTGTTATTGAACATTTATTATCTTTGACTTAAGTTAAGGTTAACTACATTTATAGATGGTGCCACATCCTTACACACCAAAAAATAATTACATTTTCTATAACATAGCATACATTTTTAAAAATAATAGTGCCACCCATGACTTCTATTAATTAAAAAGTACACATAAAATTTGATTCACATTCACAGAAGAATTTCGCAGTGACGTTAGTGTTCGGCCTATTGTATTTTTGACACTCCATTCTGTATTCAGTCCTTTAGAGTTTTTAAAGAAAACGAAAAGTATATATTAATATTTTAACCATAGTATGTCCAGCACATTCATTGCCGATGACATGTTTTGCTGAATACAGAGATCATCAAGCTGACTGGGACACAACAAACACAGTAGTGGTCTGAACACTGTTTACAATAATCATTTGTTAAAACAACAATTTGAATATAACAAACTGATAAGGGAACTTGTATAACAAAGCACTATTAAGTTATTAATTAGTAGCTGAAAGAAAAGGTTTGTTTACAGCGTCCAGCAACTGTTTCAATGAATTTTTGTTTTTTATTTCTTTAAATAAAATTAACATAGTTATTTTAAATGTTTTACTGGAGAGATTGAGAGTTTTATATGTATATATACTCACACATAAAACTCAAATGTTTTTTAATAAATTTCTTTCACGATTTATTAATCTCTTATATGTTCAGTGAACATGTCTACCTGTATTTCCTATTTGGGTAGCCTTGCACCGGCAGTTAGGAACAAGTTAATCTGAAAAAAACGAACCTATATAAGACAACAGATAGAAGGGACATTTAGCCAATGAGCAACACAACTAAGTAATCTTGTGAACAACATTTCTAGATGTAACAGAATTCACTAAGTTCACATTCTTTGGTAAAATATTTTGGTTTCTTACAAGGAATTACTTGTATAACTTGTTTCCATGTGAGAACATGACATATTTTGGTCACCAGGCATTTTCTTTTACATTTTGAAATTAGTCATTGATATCATTTTAATTATCTAAGAATTATATTGTACAGCCTAAGTTTTTATCAGAATTAATTAACTCTTATATATTATGATTCTAAAAAAAAAACCTTTAATTTAAAGTTAAAAAAATTATGCATTTCTTTTAAAAAAGGGATTTAAAAAGTGTTCCTATTGATTAGATGAGCTTTCAAAACATACGTATGATGTTTGCGTAAAAATTCCAAAAAAGTATATGAAGAAGCATGGTTGTTCAAAGAGAGTGGTGAGCAGCAGGTTAAAGGTTAAGGAATCATTCTCAGTGACTGTCAAATCAGATTTTTTTATTGTTCTTTTGTGATTCTAGCAGCATATGAAATTCTTAGTAAGTGAACTTCAAATTCTTTTGTAAGTGTGTTGTCTGTATGCATTTACTGCACTTACATGAACAGACACTTACGTTAATTGCTGCAGAAAGCATTATGATGCAATCTTGCTACTAAAGTGAAACATTGTGCTTAAAGGTTACAGTAATTTTCTGCCTTGTAGTGAAATTGTTTTAGATTACACTAATGTATAACTTTGCTATTTGTCACAATGTGTAGTTAGCATCATATATCATCTGCAATGTGTAGATGCAAATAGCAGTTAACAACATATACAATCTGTTGTGTTTGTTGACACAGAGTAGGAAGCATTTTACATCATCTACTCTGAGATGCTTAGCTTTCAAAAACAGCCTTCAAAATAGATCTTTAGTATGACAGGTATGGATTTTGTATTTATTTAGGATCTTTCCACCTGATGAAATTAATACACAACCACTTTCTGTTGCATAACTTCACTTCTGCTTCATGGCATTTCACCTTTGGTTGCTTTACTGCTTTTTACTGTTCCAGCATTAGAATGATGCAGAGGTGATTAATGCAATTGAAACTCATTTTAGTATAGCATTAAGGTTTATAATGCATATCCATCTCTGATATTTTCTCCTCTCATGATTGGTTGCTCACGAAGAATAACTTTAGGCAGGTTGCAGCATCTTTGGTCAAAGCTAATGATCAGTTATCAGGAAGGTTACAATAACAGGGTCTTGACATTGGTTCCAAAAGTAAAGGTCCAATGGAATAGGTAAAATATTGAATTTTTTTTTAAAACCCATGCTTGAACATTATATGTAGTAGTTGTATCCCTAGTGAACATCATCTTGTTTTTGAAATCATAACATTTTTAAAGGTCTCTTTGATTACAACATGAAAATTTCATTAAGTTTATTTTTCTTCACTGTTCTTAAATGATACATCATTTTTGTCATTCTTCAGGGCCATATCTTGTCGTAATTACTAAGAAGTCTAAAGTTGGAGAAATCAATGGTCAAAGTATATGGAGAGTAGAAGAAACAGAAATCCTGTCATATTCTAGAACACTGTTACATCTTACTGAAGAACAAGTATGTTGAGCTGAGAAAAATATTAAATCCAGTAATGCAAGTATATTTCTTAGAAAATAACTGAAGGTTTGTTTAAAGGTTGAAAACTTTCTACATTCATAAGTACTTTTTTGTACTATTGTTGTCAGTTGTTTGTTGACCAGTATTTTTGAGTCTCCAAAGAAAATATTTTAGACTCAAACCATTGAATATGCTTAAAAGGAAACAAAATTTCAAAATTTAACTAAAAAACACTTCCATCAATGTTGAAATTATATATGATTTACAATACCAAAATATAAAATTCACGTACTTTATCTGAAAATACATTTAGATATATTAATATTTTAACAATATGTTAAAAAAAAACTCATTTTAGAATCTGATTACCAAATAAGATGAAGCTATTACCAAACTACATGTATTACTCATATTCATTACTCTGCCTTGTTGTGTTGAGCCTGTAACCATATCAACCACATCTTCAATATCTTTTAAACAGTGAATGTGCATACTATAATGATATGAACTGTATGTTCAATTTAATCTTTTAGACAGTGAATGTGTATACATCTGTTTTCTTTGTGATCAGATATATGGTTAGTTTCTATCCAACTTACCATCAGATTTCTACGGATGGTCATTTAATCAAATGGATAATTCCCTCTACCTTCTTGCTTATCCATTACTAAAACCAGTAAACAAATTACCATCCTAAGATGCAATAATCAAACTCTATCTGTCTTTGGTGCAGTCTGTTCTCCACACTCCTTACTTTTACTTTTCTGCTACGTATGATGTGACACATACACTACAAAGGCTTTATAACACAAGCCCTGAGTTCCTGCAAATGCCCCTTTTTGAAAGAGTAAGTTTATATTTGTTTGAAAGGAGAACTTTGTTTTGTAATGAGTTACACTTATTTAACCCATTCACTGCGGCTGGGATGTATATTTCCCGGTGCTCCCACCCCTTCACACTGCGCCTAGGACAAATATTTCCCATTGTGGATGCTGTTTATGAACCTTTCTCTGCTGGGTCCAGGTTCATCATCTTGACTGTCATCACTAGATGAAGAGCTAGCATCCTCTTGTCTCATTACCTCTTCATCATCACGCATTTGAACACCACTTGACTCACTTTCACTATCTCTTCAAAGCTATCTAAGTTAAGCAAATAAAGTGCATTTACATAGTAATTTGGGTTACTACTTACCACTCTAGCGATGTAGGCTTGGTCTGCACTCAATTGTTATACATTCTGCTTAGACATCTTGTTGATGGCAAACATTGAGGGAAACCATATATCAACATTAAGTGGGATGCCAATAAATACTCTCCAACTCATTTTACTCCCATATATCACGCATGGCAATTTTGAATGACAATGGGAAACATTTGTCCCAGTCGCAGTGTGAGGAGGGTGGGAGCACTGGGAAATATGTCCCAGCTACAGTGAATGGGTTAATTGAAATAACTTGCTATTAGAAACAGATGTACTGCTTATTGTGACCTTTCTAGATTATTGTTATTGATATTGCTAAAATAATTATTTCTAACATCATTTAAATATCAATACAAATTTTGCTTTCGTATAAAATTTTAAACATATTTTAAAAATTTCAGTGTTAAATTATTTTTTAAACTTTCTGAAATTCAACTTTAGAAAAACTTTTATAGGCTGACCAGCGGTTTGTGTGGAACAATCACTTAATGAGAGATTTCTTAGCTCAGCCAGAGGTATGACATTCATGTAGCATGTTTCTTTCCAAGCTGTTACTTGGATTTTTTTAATCCAACTAGAGGTATGAAAATGATTAAGCATGTTTATTTCCAAACTGTTACTTAGATTTCTTTACCTAACCAGAAGTATGACATTCATGTAGCATGTTTCTTTCCAGACTATTATACATTTATCAAATGATTTGTTTACTCTTCGTTTTGATAAGTCAATTCTGTCAATATTTGTAATATGTTTTGGATGTGAGAATCTAAATAATACTTCAGTAATTTGAAGTGTTTCATTCATATTAATACATTGACTTTTATGTAAATGTTTACAGAAATATTTTTAAAGCTGTCCTTATTTTATTGTATAGATAATTATATTTTATATTTAATGATAAACCATAATTAAAATAAATTAAGGATCCATTTTAGACATGTTTTGAGGAAAATTTCATTTTTAGGGGGAATTTATTTATTATTGTTATTCTGAATTTGTTTATGCTCAAATTTTTTATTCCTACTGTGTTAAGGTTATTGAGTTTAAATATTTTAATTATATTATTTTTCAGCTTCATCGCTACTGGCTTCCTGTTATTCATGGATGTATCCTTCTTTGCTGAATTTTTTGTTGTTGACAAGAAATGTGAATTAAAAAAGCAAAGATGAAAAACCTTTTTAATGCATGCATTCATAGTTTCATGAATCTCCAAAAGTTTAGAAAGTAATCTTCAAACTTTCAACACATGGAAGAAC